TTTTATAGTTGCTCTCAGACTGGCATAGTAATTAAGCACTCAGAAAACGAGGGCTATCTCCACGAACAGCCATGGGTTGTCTGCTTATGTGGAAACTGCTCTTAGATGCCTGCGGCCAACAAGAGTGCAGCTGGAAACTCAGCAACAACCCCAAGCCTACCCTCTCCACCCAACCCAGGCATATTTCCAAACCTTTGGAACTGGAAAAGGAGGGGCTCAACAGCTCCTGAGACACAGCCCACTGTTTCCTGCAAACTCCCAGAGCTAATATGACTGAGTTCTCCTTCATGTGGATCCAGGGAGCAGAGGAAGAAGGCCTGCAGGACAAGCAAGACACTGATACAAAGACAAGGCAGAGAGAGACAGAGACACATGGGGGCCCTGTGACTCTCTACCTGCCAGTTCAAGTTTCTTAGGATCGACTTCTCTTTATGAGCCGGCAGCTTGGAGCAGGTTTCTGTCCCTTCAGCCCAGATGTGAACTGTGTGTTTCCTTTCTCTCTGACACCATTAATCTTAAATTCCATCATTAATTTACTAACAACATGTATATCTGTGTTTCGTGTGTCCTGCTTCCAGAAACAAAATGTAAAGAAGGGATGGAGGGGGGCCTTTCTTAAGCAACTCAAATGAATTTCTTCACCCCGTGGGACCCCATCTTACCCTAATTCTATATTCAAAGATACAGTCTGGTGGCCAAAGGCGATTAAAAAGGAATCCTGATCTTTCCTGGAATCTCTCAAGGCATCCAACGTCTCTCCTCTCTCCTCTGCCTTTCCCCAGAGCCTCACCTCCTCTGAACCTGAGCACCTTGCCAGTGCCCATTTCTTCCCTGTTCTCCACAGCAATTCAGAAGGGAATGTGGTAAGAGGCTTTTGGATTTTTGTTTTGTCTCCCGTTTTCCCTTCCTGCTACTGCCACAACAAAGGAATTCCCCAAACTGACAGCATCTACCGGGCATGTCCAACCTTTTGACATCATGACATGATGTCATCTACACATGTATTGGGCTGCGGTTGGCTAGCCTGGAATACATGCAGAGGGGCCACAGGTTGGCCTCACCTGCTAGGATCTTGGTCCCAGGCCTGCCCTTCGTCCCTGTCTCCACTTGGTCTCATGATTTGGGCTCTGCAGGGTCCTGAGAAGCAGGCTGGCAGGACAGATACTCCTTGGAGTATAGAGGGCAGGAAGAAGATTCCACAAACCTCGAGAGAAGATTAGAGAAAGGTAGGCCACGTCTCATGGCAGTGTCTCAGCCCTGCACCTCCACTGTCCTGATAGGTGGGACTTTGTGCCCCAGGGCAAACAGAACTGGTCTTTCCATCCACTTGACCCCTTGAGGCAGGTTCGGGGACCCCAAATCTCCACCACTGCACATCCCCAAACTGCACCAGTCCCAATATACAGTGACCAAAGCTATGACCGGAAGACATTCAATCAAGGTCAAGTCTTCAGAGCTCTGGATTCTCATTTTCTGCAGTTAGCTGGCCCCAGAACCAGAAGGTTCCTCCAGCTCTTGTTTGAAGCGACTCTGATCATCTCTGCCCAGGACACCTTCCCCTTCCTGGGGCATAATGTCCCACCTAGATCCTGCCTGCTGAAGCCGTCCCAGCTCTCATCTGCACCCTGCCACCCTGTGCATGCCCACATATGGCCACAAATGCACGTCACACCCATGCACCCTGGAGATTGGTCTTGCACTGTCCTCATCCAGAGGTTCCCACTACATAGTGGATGCCTCACAATCTCCTCTCCTTGGCATTCAAAGCCCGGTCTCTTGGTGCCTTTTAGCATCATCCTCAGAGACTTGGATAAAGGGAAAGGGAAAAGGTTGTAGTGTTCATAGCATTTGAATTTACTGTTGTAAATTACTGCATATAAATTTTGCAATTTTGGGGGTCTTTTTACCCTAACTGCCTAGCCAATTCCTACCTCCTATTCTTATCACACCCTCCTCTGAAGAGGTTACCCAAATTATCAATAGGGAATAAGACCCAGACCACTCCGGCTTCTTCCATGCTGAACAGGGACACAGGGTGAGGCAATTGGAGGATCCAAAAAGCTCCCAAACTGCACAGTTCCCATCCTGTGTGACCCGGAAGTTCCAAATTTTAAAAATTTTTAAGTTAGACATGAACTTACAGCATGACTCAGCAATTCTACTCCAAAGTATTTGCAGCAGGGGCACAGGCTAATGCTGTGCATGAACTGCGACTCTAGCACAAACAACTCAAATGCCCACCAGTGAGTGAATGGATGAGCAAAATGTGGTATGTCCATACAAAGGACTAGTTCTCAGCCACAAAAAGGAATGAAGAACGGATGCGTGTCACAATGTGGATGAACCTTGAAGTCATTGTGTTAAGTGAAGGAATCCAGGCACAAAACTCACATACGATGTGATTCTATCTTTATGAAATATCCCAGACAGGCAAATCCCTGAGATCGTGCAGATTGGTAGTCACCAGAGACTGGGAGGAGGGGTGAGTGGGGAGCAGCTGCTCAGTGGGAGGCATCTTCTTTTGGAGTGATTGTGATGTTTGGAAGCAGATGGAGGTGATAGCTGCAGATGCACAGCCTTGTGAAGGTACTAAATGCTCCCAAATCATTCGCTATAAAATGCTGAGGGCTGGGGAAATGGCTCAGTTGATAAGGTGCTTGTGGCAGGAGGACCTCAACCTGATCCCTGGAACTGACATGAAAAAGAAAAGCCAGATATGGTGGTACACTCTTGCATTCCCAGACCTGGGAAACAGAAGACAGGAAAATCTCTAAGCTCCCAGCCAGTCAGCCTAACGGGCAAGTCCCAAGTCAATGAGAAACCCTATCTCAAAAACCAAGGTGGACAGCTCCTGAGGTGCAATGCCTGAGGTTGTCCTTTGGCCTCCCAGGCATGCGTACATGTGTGTACATGTACCTGTACACACATGCACACACAAATAGTTGAGTCTGTATTGTGTGAATTCCATTAGTTTTAAAAAGAAAAGCAGTCAGGTGATGACAGGGTCAGAAACATGGGCCGCTGACTGTGGAGAGACATCTGGAAAGAGGGTCTGGTGGGGACAGGTGGGCAGAGGGCATGGAGGAAGTAAGGAGGGCTGACATCCTGAGATGTTATAAATGACATCTCAGGACAGGAAGCTGAGATGGGGGGGGGGTAGTCAGCTTCACCCAGCATCACAAAGAGCCAAGGAGACCTCAGGCAGAGAGCCCTGAAACAAGAGTTGGGGAGGACCACTCCCAGCAAGCAATGGAATCCACACAACTGAGCAGGCTGTGCCCTGATACCATCAGCCAAAGGTGGGAACCTTGCTGGTCCCCAGAAGCATGGCTGATCACAGCACACTGGAGCCTGCAGGAAGGTGCCTGACTGCTGGGTGCAAAGCCAGGGCAAGCACCCCCATAGTATGCCTGTCACCATGACTTCCCTTCCCAGGAGACTTGCACCACTCCTTGCCCAGCCAGAGACCACCACCCTTCCAACCCACAGCACCTGCAGGTTCAGGCAGAGCTGCCCTAACCCACAAGCAAAGCCATTACTGCATGTGGGGTTGGGTCTCTGGGAGCCCAGACCTCTTCATATAAATCTAACACCTGGTTCTTACAGGCCTGGAGCTCTCCCCCCCCCGCCCCCCCCCACTGTGTAGTGGGCTTCTCAAGATCAGGTGCCATGTCTCTGATGTCAGCAATGGTCTGATTCAGTGTGTATTTAATGTATATTTAATGTATGTTGAGAGTCTATACCCTGAAGTCAAACTGAGTTCGAATACAAAGCCTACCTTGTGACCTTGTGTTTGTAACTTTTCCTCTTTGAGGCTGGTTTTCTCATTTGCTAAACACACTTAATAATAGTGCTTATCTTTGAAGATTATTGTGTGGAGCTGAGTGTGGTGTAGCACGCCTTTAGTCCCAGTACTTGGGAGGCAGAGGCAAGCAGATCTCTGTGAGTTCGAGGCCAGCCTGGTCTACAGCTGGGGCTACAGGGAGACCCTGTCTCATAAAGACAAAAAAAAAAAAATTATTGTGAGGATCAAAATAAACAATGTATGCAAAGCACTTAACAGAGTGCTGTACATAGTAACAAATACTAATATTGAATTAACTACTATTTAGTTATTTAGTTACATATTAGGTTAACTAGTATTTGGTAACTAGTAAGCCCACAATGATTTCTGAACTTTAGATTTCACAAAATCTTGTATCTGGAACTCAGTTTCAAATAAGGAAATTGAGACTCAGAGAGGTTAAGTGACTTGGCCAAGGTCACATAGCTATTAAGTAAGCAACTCTACAGAGAATAGAAAAGCAAGTCACCCTGCACAGCACTCACTGTTCCCACTGCCGCCTCCTGAATGCCTGCTTATCTGCCCACAAATTCTGGTTGCAGATGACACAGTTTTGCTTCACTAGTCAGCTTCCTCTTCCACAGGGATGCAGAAACCTGTGGGTGGGTGGGCGTGTGCAGGTTTATGAGTGGACTCAAGTCTGAGAGTGGGTGTGGCTTGGTCCAGTGTGTTTCTGTGCACCCTCAGATGTGTGCGCCTGCATGGCGTGGGTGAGCATGCACACTTATGTTGTGGGGGGGAGTGAGTGTGAGCATGTGACTGCATGCACGTAGTTGAGTGTAGGTGCCAACGCATAACTTTCCCTATCCATAAAGTTTGCTTCCTGTCCTACAGTAAGATCATGGCAGGCAGGGCTGGGTCCTCCAAGTCTCGGTATCCACACGCCCCTGGCACAGTGCACAGCACAGAGACTGGCCCACGATAGGCCTCAGTTAAGGGGGGAGGGTGCTGAAGAGCTGGAGAGATGGCTCAGTGGTTGAGAGCACTGACTGCTCTTGCAGAAGACCCGGGTTCGATTTCCAGCACCCATACAGTGGCTACGGACCGTCCTTAACTCCAGTTCCAGAGAAATCCAAAGCCCTCTTCTGACCTCCGCAGCATTGTACGACACGGGTGCACTCACATACATGCAGACAATACACTCGTACACATAAAATAAAATAAAATATTTTTTAAAATGAGGAGTGGAGTGGAAGAAAAGGAGCCGGGAGATTTCTGCTCCTCAGCAGACTCACTGGCTGAGCTCAGCATTACAGGATGGGAGCTCCCGGGGGACCCTGTCCAGCTGGGCCACCCCGAGCCTTCCCAAACCGGGAGTTGAGTGTGGAACAGCTGGCTGAACCCCTCCGCTGGGGGATGGGACAAGTGGGCGCCCGGGGACACACCCCCAGCCTGAGGGTGGCTGCTTAAGTGGCAGGAAAGGAAACAAAAGATGAAATACATCAGCCATTGGCAGTTGTGAAAAGAGCAAAATCGCTCAGCAGAAAGCCAGGCGCCATCCATCATCCGGCCCTTCTCCACTTGAGCTGCCGAAGCAAGAGGGTTTTTAATGCCCTCCCCTTCGTTTGCATTCTCACAGCTACTCTTTTATGGTAGCAGAGGTTGCCAAGAAGATCTGAGTGGTTTTTTAAAGACGTTGATAAACCATTTCCACCAGGGAATGAAAGTTTTTTGCCGGGAGGTGGGGGGGGGGCAGAAAGTTTTCCGAAATAATACGTTCGGTCTGCAGAGCCACCGAAAAGGGACTGCAGATGTATTAGCCCCATAAAAAACGAGGGAGGAATTTGGCCCAGGCATGCTCTGAGCTGGCAAGATGAACAATTCATTCATCCTGCAACAGAGTCAAGGCCTGGAACTTTGCAGAATCACTGGGAAGAGTTTCAGAGGCAAGCTGCAGCTGGAATGTGACCAGGGCTTGTTACCCACGCACATCTGGTGTCAGGGTCTCTGAGCCTAAGACGTCACCTTCAGGAGTTCCCGCTGGTTTCAAAGCCTGAGCAGTGGACAGCCCTCCTTCCCTTACAAAGATCTGAGCGAACTCCCTCCTCTTGCACCCTTGGCTGAGCCCATCTGCAGCTGAATTCCAATTTCCAGAGCTGGGCACGTCCTGCTGCGGCTGGGGACTTGGAGACTCAGAGAAGCAGCTTTTCCAGTAGCGCATATTGGTAAAGATCAGGCAGGATTGGAACACAGATTTCCACCATCCCTGGGGCCATGCCTCTCTCCTTCCTCTTCCACACCCAGCAAGTAGCCTGTCTCCCTGCAACCCTAGAACCTGGAGGCAAGAGAGGGAGGAAGGCAGTGACACAGGGCATCCTAGTTCTGTCACAAGGAGGGCAGGTCAGGAGACCACCAAGCAAACCAGTGTGAAGCAAGGCATTCCCATCCTAAATGCCAAGCTGAATGTGGTGGCACACAACTATAATCTCAGCTCTCAGGAGGCTGAGACAGGGGGATCTCAAATTGGAAGACAGCCTGGGCTACATAGAAAGACCCTATACTGAGAGAGAGCAAAAGACAGAGACAGACTGTTCCCAGACCTCCGTCTGTCTGAGCTCTGCACTTGCCCATGTCCTCACTTGCAAATGTGTTGATCTGACCAGCACCAAAAATCCCCCTCTGAACCTGAAAGAGTCGCTCTGGTCCCAGCACTTTGTCCAGCATCCCCACGTTAGCTATGCCAGTGTGTCAAGCCAGGAAGGCACAGTTAGGACTTGAGTGGCAGCTCACTGGAGAGGTCAGTCACATGATGTCTACTCTTCCTTGGTTGTTGGCCTGAATAGCTAGATGATCAGGGCCTCTGGGAGATGCAGAGGGTTTGAGTTTGGATTTGATTTGAGCTTTTATCCTTTTTTAGATGTATTTTTACTTTTATTCATGTGTATGTGTCTGTGTGTATACATGCCACATATATGCAGGTGCCCAAATAGGTCAGAAAAGGGCATCAGATCCCCTAGAGCTGGAGTTACAGGCAATTGTGAGTCACCTGACACAGGTTCTGGGAAAGAGCAGCAGTAAGCTGAGCCATCTCTCCAGGCTTTTAAAAAAATTAAAAAGCCGGGCGTGGTGGCACACGCCTTTAATCCTAGCACTTGGGAGGCAGAGGCAGGCGGATCTCTGTGAGTTCAAGGCCAGCCTGGTCTACATAGTGAGTTCCAGGACAGCTGGGGCTACAGGGAGACCCTGTCTCAAAAAGACCAAAAAAAAAAAAAAAAACAGCATCTCAGGGTTGGAGAGATGGCTCAGTGGTAAAGAGCACTGGCTGCTCTTCCAAAGGAACCAGCACCCACATGGCAGCTAACAACCATCTGTAACTCCAGTTCCAGAGTCTCCGACGCCCTCTTCTGGCCTCTGAGGGCATTGTATGCTCTTGATGCATTTACATACATGCAGGCAAAATATTCATACACATAAAATAAAATAGTAAAAGGCAGGGTCTTGTGTATCCTGGACTATGTAGTTGAAGATGACCTTGAACTTCTGACCCTCCTGATTGTGCTTCCTGAGTGTTGGGATTACAGGTATGTCATCATACCCACATGAGATGCACAGATTTTTTTTTTTTTTGAGGCTTCACACCTGCACAGTACTCAGGAGACTAAGGCAGGAGGATCATTGTGAGTTTGAGGCCAGCCTGGGCTACATAGTGAGAGCCTGTTCCCAAAATACCAAAAACATTAAAAAGATTTTTTTAATTGAAACCAAGTCCTTCTGACAACACCCACGCCCCTTCTGCTGTGGGTGGAGGAGTGTCAGTGTGCCAACAGCAAGTCAGCTGATGGCAGTGGACATACTTTATCAAATTCTTACTGTGACCTGATAACTACCATTTTATATGCAATGAGGTAACTTCTAATCACCCCCCCCCTTTTTCTTACAGAAACTGAGACTCAGAGAGGTTAAGCAATGCGTTCAAAGTCACACAACAGCAGATCAGAAAAAGGTCAGAATTCACATCCTACAATCCAACCCTAGAACTATTCTTTCACCAGCTCAGCACAGTACCGTGCTAAAGGATTATAGACCGTGATACCCACCATGCCATCCCCTCAGCACAGAAGTGCCTGCTAGAGACCTAGGAACCCAAGGCCTGTCAATTCCTTCCCTCAGACATTCCCAGAATTGGATTCATGACCTTCTCTCAGCACATTTCTCCGTTCATCCTGGACTCCTGGGGCAGCTGGGGGGAATCAAGCCTGCCCCCTCCCTCTCCCCAGCCCTGAATCTGAAGTTGCAACAAAACCATTTCATCTGTCCCCAATAGACCCCATTCCCATTTCCCCTCCTTCAGGTGGCAGGGACCTTCACCTAGGTGATACCAGGACCTGGAATAGGATTCTCACCAGCCCCGTTGATGACCATGAACCCAAAAACAGCCTGTCTAACACCTTGGAGAGGAACTTTTGCCAGCCTGCCCACATGGGCAGACAGCCTCAGCTTCTTCCTGTGAAACCTCTCACCTGCCGGGTAGAGAGCCCAGGGGTGCAGAAGTCACCCGCTATAAAATCATCAAGAGTCTCCATCATGAGGAAGGAGGAGGAAACAGAAGGCACACACAAAAAAGGAGCAATTAGGCAGTTAACAGCAGCAGCTCTTGTTTATTGATCATCTGTAATGTGCTAGATATTTTATGCGCTGTGAGCTCACCCAACCCTTTCTGAAGAAGCTTCGAATGGACGAAAGCCAACTCATCATTCTTAGTTAATAATGTTAGTTTTAGGATTTCGAAGGGCACCTTTGTGCCATGACCCATAGTCCACTTAGGCTCACTGAGGAGCCATCTCCCTGCCCTCACATCACACTGACAACTGCCTGCCATCACCCACAGAGCTCTGTCTCAACTGATGCTTGCAACCCCTTCCACCCACTAGAGAGGAGCCCAAGAGAAAGAGCAGTGGAGAAAGGGGAAGGGTGACTTTACCCTGGTAAAGATGTATTTGCAGTTCCTGGACAAAATCTTTTCCGTTTCCAGGCCAGGGCTGGCAGTGCCATCAGCCTGCACAAACTCCTATAGAAGCCACTGGTCCCTGGTGAATTTCAATGAGGGCTCGTTCCTGCGGGGAAGAGGAAAGCCACTGTGTAAAAGGCAAAGGCAGCTTTTGTTTGGCAAGGTATGACCACAGGACAAACGCTGCTCAAGGAGGACAGGGACAGCAGGCTGAGGTCCACAGCCAGCACAGGTCAGCCAGTTCCCTGTGTGTGCCAGGGACTAGGACAAGGGTGCATTGAACACTGTCTCACAAATAATTACCAGACAAGGTCAAAGGTAACAGGATAGAGATGTACATACAGTCTGTGGGAGGGGTGGGACGTGAGAGTCCCAAGCTCAGCAGGGGACACACAGGGTATCACAGAGCAGACGGCATTTGAGAAGGGTCTGGAAAGAAGGATAGGAGTTGCTGAAGGTATAGCTCAGGGGTAGAGTGCTTGCCTAGCATGTGCAAGGCCCTGGGTTTGATCCCCAATACTGTCTGGAAGGATAAGCATTCAACAGATAGGAAAAGGCTGGGGTTGCAAAAGGGCACCCAGGCATAAGGAATGGCATGAACTAGGATGGGAAGTGTGCGTGTACGTGTGTGTGTGTGTGTGTGTGTGTGTAATCCCAGCGTGTTAGAAATGATGCTGTTAGAGCAGAGGGGCATGGTGACTAGGGACCCTGGAAAAGAAGTTGGGCCAGGCTATATGTGGCTGTGCTCCATGTTTAAGACCAACATGGATTTCTTCTTAACCGACTGAGAGTTTCAAGGAGGGGGGTGGTGGACTGCATTGCAAGTCTGAGGGAGGATGTGCTGAATTACGGGAACTGTGGGAATGGAGAAAGTGTAAACGTTTGAAATCTGCAGACTGTAGGCAGTGAGGGTCTGACGGGAGGTCCCCGAGGTGAGAATGAAGGGAAAGTGAAGGATGCTGGGCAAATGAAGACAGAGGACAGACCAACAGACCCAGGGGCATCTGGGATATAGCTTGGCCAACCACATAGATGCTGTCCAAGGAATTTCCCAGACATCAGAGGCCCGACCTTCTGGGCCAACTGATATGGGTCCTGAGACTCTAGACTGGCAGAGATAGCCTGGGGCTCACAAGTTCAGCCAGGTTCCCTGCATTCGGGATGGCAAATATACTCTCTCCACCTGCCAGCTTGATGGATTGATGGTGTCTACCTAAATTACTATTTGAGAAGGATTATAAGACCATATCTGGGCCCAATGGGAAAGAAAGCTGTGATTTATTAGCAGCGTCTGTCATGGGTGCTGGGTTGGGAGGGTGGTACATGTGTTTCCCACTTGTTTTTCCTATGGTTCATATGCAGATTCTGTGCCAAGAGCTACTGAGATGTGTCTGGAGTACCCCTAACAGCCAGGCCAGTTAGGAAGGACAGCAAGTGCACACAGGAGATTACCATGGAGCTCCGAATGCATGTTTTTGCCCTGGGATCTAGAAGAATATCAGGCTGGGTATGGTGACTGTTCTGGTTTGTGTCTCCATTGCTGTGACAAAACACTCTGACCAATACCAACTTGGGGAGGAAAGGGTTTATTCAGCTTACATCTCCCAGGTCGCAGTTCATCAGGGAGCCCAAGGTAGGAACTCAGGGCAGGAACCTGGAAGCAGGAGTTGGAGCACAGGCCATGGAAGAACGCTGCTTACTGGCTTGCTCCCCTGGCCCCTGCTCAGCCTGCTTTCTTATGCAACACAGGCCCACCTGCCCAGGGGTGGCACCACCCACAGTGTGCTAGGCCCTCCCACATCACTCATCAAGATGCCCCTCAGACATGGCCACAGGCCAGTCCAATAGGGGAAATTCCCCGACCAAGTCTCCCTCAACCCAGGTGTGTCAAGTTGACACTAAAGCTATCCAGCACAGTGACCCATACCTGTAATTCCAGTACTCTGGCTGAGGCTGGCCAACCGGGGCTACATAGAGAAACCCTGTCTAAAAAATTGCTGTATGCATCATTCTGAGGATAGAATGAAATCATGTCAACAAGAGTTCTTTGTAAATTGTAAATGTGTTCTATAAATGAAATGTCTCCACCACTCAAAAAAAAAAAGCAAAACAGACAGCATCTCCATCTCTGGAACTGAGCATTAGTCCTTGCACTGGTCCTAAGCATCTTAAACAGTATATTAGAGACACTCCCCTCCAGGAAATCCATGGGACCCCCTGGTACTATTAATTAACTGCTGAAGCATCAATAATGATAATTGTACAAAGGTCGTGTCAAGAGAAAGAAGCCATAAGGCCTGGGGAGATGGCTCAATGGATAAGGTGCCTGCCTTATGCAAGTATAAGGGGCGGGGTTGAGATCCCCAGAACCCCTGTCAAAAGCCAGGTGGGTGTGGCTGCCACCTGTAGCAGAGCCAGGCATCCCCAGGGCAAGTTGTCTCATTAGATTAATGGGACTTGCTGAGCTCCAGGTTCAGCAAGAGACCCTGCCTCAATAAATAAAGTGGAGAGTGATAGAGGAAGGCACCAGATGTCAACTTGGGGCTTCACAGGCCCTCACACTCACACAGGCACTGGCACACACACATGCAAATACACACACATATGCATACCACACGCATACACAAACAAAAGAGAGTAGCAATAAAAACTGTGAAAGAGCATCTTTGGAGTTAGACACACTTCTCCTGGGACTCAGTGAGCAGCCGCAGGAGGTCTAGAAGCCCTCAAGATCACACTCAAGTTGTTTGAGCATGTGCACTTCCCACAAAGCAGGTCTTCAGGTTTGACAGTCTCTCAAAGAGATCTATGCCCCCAAAAAGGTTTCAATCATTATTCAAGATGAAGGAGTGTAATGAGGTATAATTGAATCCTGCTGGATGAAGGAGCATCTATATATCTCAGTAGGAGGTGAATTTCTGGAGGTAGCAGCTGACTGCTCCACAGTACAATCTGCTTAGCCTTAAAAAATGTCCTCCCCCTGGGTGCAGAGTGGCACACCTGTAATCCTGCATTTCTAGAGGCTGAGGCTGGAGGAACGTGAGTTCCAGGTCTTGCTATGGGCTACATAGCAAGACCCTGTCTCAAAAAAAGAAAGTTATCCTCCTGATCTGAGGTGCAAACTTAGAGCTACTTTTGAATACTGGAGAGCTTGAAAATCCAGAGGGTTTTTTTGTTTTTGTTTTTGTTTTCTCTAAGAATGTTCTTAGGGGCTGGGATGAGAGCTCAGTCTTAAAGTGCTTGCCTTGCAAACACAAAGATGTTAATTCATTCTCTAGAACCCACATTTTTAAAGCCAGATGTGAGGCTGAGAGTAAGGGAGCTTGCTCTGCAAACAAAAGGATCTGAGGACCTGAGTTCAAACACCCAGCACTTATACAAAAAATGGGAGTTGGGGTGCATATGATCAAGATGCACTGTTCACATGCATGAAACCACCAAAGAATAAATAAAAGATATTGTGTTTAATACACACACACACACACACACACACACACACACATGCACGCACACAAAGACATTCATGGCTCTGTAACTCCAGTGTTGGAGGGCAGAGACAGCTGGATCCTGAGAGCTGACTGGCCAGCCAGCCTAGTGGAACTGACAAGCTTCCAGCTTAGTGAGAGATCCTGTCTCAAGACAAGGCTAGCAGTGATAGAAGACACCACACATCCTGCCCTGGCCTCCACACGAGTACATACAGGCATATGTTCTCTCACATTTGCATATATACACCACCACCCACACACACATTACATACACACCCACACCACCACCACCACAACCACCACCACGACCAAACACACCACACACCACAAACATCCCCATATTCACACACATACACACACACACCACCCATACCCACACACTCCATACACCACATACACACATGCCACACACATAGTGCACACACACACACCACGTGCACCACATAGTACACACACCACATGCACCACATACACAAGTACTACACACACTATACATACACGCCACACATAGCACATATACCACACACACACACACACACACACACACACACACTTTGTTCTTCTAACTATCCAGAAATCTCCATTGTACCCCACAAAAATCTTCAACTGCGACTGGAGACTTAGAAAAACAATGTCACTGTGTCAAAGGCCCAGGAAGGCTGGTGGGGCCAGTGACCGCAACAAAACTCCCCCCTGTTCTGCTAGGGGAACAATAAGTGTTCTTCACCTGTGAAGGCACTAATAAGGTAGGCAGCTAGGGAGACTGCTTTTGGACGACATTATGCTGGGACCCTGGGCTGGTGGAAGCTTCTAGGAACGATTGGATTTGGGAAGTTATGTCATGGGATCTAGGGGTGTGGGTTGAGGTTAGGAACTGGGATGTAGGGATTGGGTTGTCAGCTCTGACTGTGAGGCAGAGGAACTGTACCCCTTCCTTTCAGAGAGTCATGTCTAGTTATGGTATGCATTAATGGGTGTGCTCACAGATCTCTGCCCCGTGGGCCTGTCAGCATGGAGAGGAAGGGGGCAAGAATTATTTGTCCCATGTCACCTGGCAGATGTAGGGCACAGAACAGATATCACTGATAAATGCTTGTTGAGTGAAAAGGTGGGCAGGTAGGCAGATGGATGGGGGTGGGCAAGCCAGTGTGGTCCATTTGAAGGACAACTCAATCAAATGCCTCATGGGTTTGATATTTGGAAGACCCAGTTGATATTGTGGCTCAGGGAACAGACTGGAGATTCAGCTTGTTCAGTGTATCACCTCAGGCAAAATATTTAACCTTTGGCAGGCAAGATAGGTCAGTGGGTAAAGGCGCTTGCAACCAAGCCTAACAACCTGAGCTGTTGAACTCAGGGACCCTTGTAGTAGAGGAAGGGAACCAACACCCACAGGTTGTTCTCCGACTCCCACGTGTACATCACCAAGGCTGGTACACACACATAACTAATAAACAAATGTGATTTCAGTTTTTTAAATCCACTCATCCTCTCTGTGCCTCAGTTTTCTAGTCTGTAAAATGGGGATGACAATTGTTCCTGACCCAGAGTTACTAGATAGAATGAATGAATGTACATGGATCATTCAGAATAGTACCTAGGCAGTACATTAAACTAAACAAAAACGGACAGTCTGTGCATAAGACAAAGGAATGTGGAAGGGGATAAGAGGATCAAAAACACAAAGTGGTGGGGGCTAGGATGTAGCTCAGTTGATAAAG